AGAAAAAAAAGATAGAAAAAAAAAGATGAAAAAAATAATTAGATCAGATGTTTGAACTACGTTAGACCTGATTCCGTTTAAAAAAAGGATGCATAGGCAGCCTCACGGTTCGGTCCAACCATATAAAAATTCAAAAAAGAAAGAAAAAAAAAAGAAAAATTCCAAAAAATCCCCAACAGCTGAAATTGGGGCAGTAATTTTATTTCACTTTTGAAAGAGTCGATTCCAAGAGTTGTACGTCCACAACCCCCTTTACTTTGAGTCTATTTTGAGCCTTCATGACGTCCTTTCTTTCCAACCCTATCCAAAATACTTACAAATGAAGAATGCCAAGAGAAGCTTATAATGAACAACGGTTGTCACATGACATAGAACGTTGTCAAGTTTCTCAAGAAAGCAACAGAAAAAAAAGACAGAGAAAAAAATTAGAGAGTCTTACTAGTGAAAACCTTCACAGGCACTGTAAGGCGACGGTAAGTAGAGATAAATAAATGAGAGAGACTTGTAGGTGAAAATCCCTCGGGGCACCACTAGTTGAAAGTGAGTCGTGAAGCTGATGCAAAGGATCGGCACGAACAAGCCCGACTTCAAAGGTCATAAGAACGGCAAAAAGGAAGATTGGATTAGTTTGATAGATCAGACCGTTGAGTCCAAAATGCATGTCATGACCATTAAGGCTAGTTATTGAAAAAAAATGAAAAAAAAAAGAAAAAAAAGGAAAAAAAACTCTTCCTTATGTCCTTCCGACAGGGGCATTTCTTGTTAATACTTGTTTCTTTGCATCATTCTGTCCTTCACTCTGAGTCAGTCCTTGTCAAAACAAGCAAGAAAATATTTCAAAATCTGCTACCAGCTTTTCAATTGTATAAAGTAAATTTGTCCAGCACTCAGTTGTTACTGCTAGTATACCTTGAGGATTCATGCAAAGGCTTCCCCAAAAAATCTCTTGTCAGCCTACTTGGCGCAAGAAAGATAACTGGTGATTCTCTCTGACAGACAAATTACTCAAAAAGCAGGAAGTCATTCAAGACATCAGAAAAGGTCACCTAAGCAAAGATCTCCAATTGGTATCTCCAGTTGTGATAAGGTTGATTGAGACGCAAATACAAATGGTACTGGGTGTGAAACAATCAGAGTTGGTGCAGAACAAAAGTCTTTTGAGACCGACTCAAGCTGATTGAGCAGAAGCCAAGCTGCATAAGACTCAAGGCCATAAAACGACCACCATTTTCAAAACTGACAAATTTATCTTTGTGTTAAACAGGAACAAAGCAGTGCAAGGAAAGCGGTTCAAAAAAAGAGAAAAAAAGAGAAAAACAAAAACAAAAACAAAAAAAGAAGGAAAAGAAAAGAAGAGAAGAGACTACAAAGGGAAGTTTCTCAAATCTCTGTCTTTATTTGTCTTGCTATTGTGCATAAAATCTTGCCATTGATCTTCACATTTTTCCTCCTAGGATAAAAAGTCCTAGTCTGATGGATTTTTCTCCTAATATAAATCTTAGTCTGATGAATCTTTCTCCTAAGATAACAAAAAAGAGGACCTAGTTTGATGAATTTTCTCCTAGGATCGAAATCTTAGTCTGATGAATCTTTCTCCTAAGATAGAAGACCTAGTCTGATGAACTTTCTCCTAGGATAAACGTCTTAGTCTGATGAATTTTTCTTCTAAGATAAGAAAATCTAGTCTGATGAATTTTCTCCTAGGAAAGAAATCTTAGTCTGATAAATATTTCTCCTAAGATAAAAAGCCCTAGTCTGATGAACTTTCTCCTACTATAGAAATGTTAGTCTGATGAATCTTTCTACTAAGATAACAAAAAAAACACCTAGTCTGATAAATGTTTCTCCTAAGATAGAAAACCTGGTCTGATGAATTTTCTCCTAGGATAAACATCTTAGTCTGATGAATCTTCCTCCAAAGATGCCAAAAATAAAATCTTAGTCTGATGAATCTTTCTCCTAAGATACCAAAAAAATAAATAAGAAAACCTAGTTTGATAAAATTTCTCCTAAGATAATTTAAAAAAAGAAGAAGAAGTCTGGTTTAGAAAAACAATGAAAATGATTTTTCTCAATAAAAAAAAAAAGAAAAAATCTTTCTTGGTTCATAGGGTCTCCACTCCCTAGCTGATGCCAGCATAACCTGGTAATCTTTTCCAACATAGGGTCTCACTCCCTAGTTGATGCCAGCATAACCTGGTAATCTTTTCCAACATAGGGTCTCACTCCCTAGTTGATGCCAGCATAACCTGGTAATCTTTTCCAATATAGGGTCTCATTCCTTAGTTGATGCTAGCATAACCTGGTAATCTTTCCAACTTAGGCCTCCAATCCCCAGTTGATTTCATTTTAGATATAGAGTCTCCACTCCTTAATATCTTTTTCTCAATGATGCACAATCTTGATTTTATTGCTTTCAATAAAGAAATAGTTTAGATTTTTGTTACAATAACTCACAAAAATTTCCTAGTGAAAACTGGAGCAGAAAAATTTCATTTGTTTGTTTGCTTTGGAGCCTGAGCAGGTTTTTACCTTGAGGCACAAGTTTCGAGACGACCAAAATAAGGAGTCTCAACTTAGAATAAAAGAAAAAGAAGAAAAATAAAAAGAAGCGAACTCAAAGTGCAGAAGCGGAGAAAAGATGTGGACTGCTCAAGACGTGATTGAAGTCACAAGCTTTCCATGTCCCGCCTTGATCCGAGAAGTTGAAAAAGGAATGAACAAGCACCTGCAACTAACAAGCATCAAGATTCAGATCAGAGTCCGCATGAAAAACCAACCAAGACTCAAGATCAAGCTTCAGAAGACTCATAGATAGGAATCTTGTAACTCGTAGTTGATAGGCTTAGTTAGTCTTTTAATTTTGATTTTGATGTAACAACAGTACCACGGACCGGAGCCTCGACGGAACCTCACTCGACTCTCGAACTCATCACTCCATCATTCATTCTTGAACTACACGCGACCTGATTCCCTAATAACCTGGGATATGTAGGCTGTCCAAAACCAGGACTCGGTTGCAACCTTTTCCTTTGTTTATTTTCCTTTTTGAATTAAAATTTGGTCAAAAATTAGTCACACGGCTCACTTTGTCTTTTCTTGAGAACTCTTCATGTTCCCAAGCAAAGAGGGGCAGCTGTGAACACCTAATTTTTAACCACATTTGGATTTTCACTCACATTTTAGTATTTAAATAGGTTAAACTTTTAGTTTTATTTCACCTTTTATAGGTTTTATTTGATAAAATTGAAAATCACAAAAAAAGAGTATATTTTTAGTAGGCGAAATGGCTTCCTGGCCACTTAAACTTGCAAGACTTTTGAAAGCCGATACACAAACTTTGGACTTTCCCATTTAAACACTCAAACTGGTAAAACCTACAACTAATAAACACTTTTGATCATTGACTATGCTTATGTGGCGGTAGCTTATCTTACGTGGACATAGTGCGTACAAGTCACGTTCAAATGGCGCGTGTATCTGTTATTATTCATTAAAAATATTGTAAAATTAAAAAAAAATAGAAACTATAAGGAAAACCAAAAAAGAAGAAGAAAATGGTGGCTGGGTTTATTGACTCCGCCTTATTCCGCCAGTTCCTCCAAAAAAGAGAAATTAACCATGGAGCTAGACTGCCGGAATTTTAATCAATTCCTATGGGAGATAAATTGAGAGAAAAATTGAGGTCTATGAATGTTACCAGAGAAAGGATTAGATTTGAAGGCCTAGATCCACCGGCTCCGACGACGGAGACGACGGATTTTCCGAGGGAGACGATGAGGAAAATTATAGTGAATGATGCTAGGAAAATTTTGAGGTTTTATCAGTTGGAGAACGTGAGATTGAGAGTTAGGGATATGCCGATGAACTCCATTTTGTACTCTAAATTCGTTGAGTTTCTCTTCGTCTTTTAGTTCCATGTTGATTTTGTTCCAGTAATTATCTTCTTCTTTTTGTAGTCTCCCTTTCTTCTTGAGTGGCTTCTGCTCCTACATGCTCATCTTCCATATCTTTAATCAGTTTTTTTCAAGTACCCAAGAATACAGAGGAGAGTATTTATAATTAGTGGAGGCCTTTCAGATACTTGGCCTTTAGCAACAGAGAACAAGGTTTGGAGTTTGCAAAGATTGTTGGACGATTCAGGCAGCGTCATCGTTTTTCGGTGACGTCGTTTTGCTTTGTCCCCATCAAGTAAAAATTGCACAGCTATGGTGAAGAAGAAAATAAGGGAAATATAAGAAAAAGTAGAAATTAATAAATTTATTCACGCTCTTGACGTGTAACAATCCCATTGGTCATTTGCTGACTGGATGGACACGTATGTAAATGTGTAATACACGCACGTAGGTTCAAAGGTCAAATGTGTTTATTAGTTAAGGGTTTCACGAGTTTGAGTATTCAAATGGGAAAGTCCAAAGTTTGTGTATCGGCTTTCAAAAGCCTTGCAAATTTAAGTGACCAGGAAGCCATTACGCCTTTTTAGTATAAGTTTTATCTTCATTTACAGGAAAAAAAAGAAAGAAAAAATCCAAAAAAAAAGAGTTTTATTTAGTTTAGTGCAATTTTCTAAATCTGAGACTTTCGACAAATAGATATTGAGTGTAGTAATTTTACTTTACTTTTTATTTATTTATTTAGTAGGAGTAGATTATTTACTTATTTATTATAAGGAAAAAACTATAAAAAAGAAAGAACCAATTAAAAATGGTCATTTGCCAAAGATTCCTCCTTATCTTCTCATAACAAACTAACATGCTCACAATATTGGATATGCTTCACGTTACACTCCTATAGGAAAGCAATTTCATTTTTTTCCTTGTTTTAAAACACAAATATTCACTGTGCACTCTTAATTCTTTTTGTCTTCATGCATATTTCACATAGGCACAATACACAATAGAAAAATAACCAGGCCAACAAAATAGGGAGGGCCTACACATTTTCTTTCTTTCTAAAACACTTAGATATAAACACTCAACCCATCACTCATTTTTACATAGACACACATAGAAGGAGGGGGTAAAAATAAAAAGGGGAGGAGAAATCGAGGAAGAAAACAAAAAACACAAAATACAGAGAGCACAAAAAGGGGATAAGCAAATACAGAGAGAGAACGAGAATAAAGGAATAAGGAACTGGGTCATCTCCTTTCTCACAAAAATCAGTTCCAATTTTCTCTTAGAAGCCATGTAAATTACCACCAAAAGTCATCTCATTTCTCTTCCTAAGATCTAGATCCAAGAGCTAAAACAAAAGTTGCTTACCTTCTTCTCCTTCCTAAAATACCTTCATTAAACTACCCTCAAACACCCTCCAAAGAGCCCATTTTTTCAGCCATGAAAATCAGTCCTTAAAGCTCCTTTAATCAATTGAAAATCAGCTGCAACATGTGCAAAAATGCAGCAGCAGTTTGGCTGTAAAACCAGTCCAAATTGTAGCTTAAAATCACCCCAATACAGTCCAACAATGACCTCTAAGAGCAGCTCTATTTCTAAATGAAATCAGCCAAAAACCAGCCTTCAAACAGACCTTGAAACAGCGCCCAAGAACAAGCTAAAATCTACTGAAATCAGCTAGAAAACGCAGCAAACAGAGCTGCAAAACACCACCCAAAATCCAGCGTTAGATAGCAGCAAAATCAGCTTCGAATCTGCTGAAAAATCTGGCCAAAGGAAGCTGCGAAATAGCTCGAAAACCAGCCAAAACTTGGCTGAAAATCAACACCAAACAGTCCCTTTTTGCACAAAAAAATCGCATTTCCAAGGTTGAGTCGTTGAGTTCGCCGTCACTGGTTTTCGATCGTGGTCGCTGGTGTTTGGTCCGTCTTTTGAGTTGCAAAGCTTTAAAATTCGGATTCGGCAATAAAGGTCCGTTTCTTTTACACATGTATCGTATCTTCCTAGTTTGATTCATGGATTTTGTTTGAAATATTATTTCATCAAGTTTATATATCTATGCGAGTGTTGAATCCATAACTCGGACTGAGTCTACTTATAAGTTCAATTTTGTTTTGTTAGTATTGGAGGAAGTTAGGAAATTCGTATTGTTATCATATATTAGCATGTTGTTTGGTTGTTATCTTGATTAGTAAGCTATTATTTTCATGCTATTTGGTTAGTTGCTTTTGAGTTAGATAAATAATGATGAAATTGGAGATTTTGAGTTAGATAAGATTGTATAATAAATTGATTTGAATCTTGAACTTTGTCAGGTTATGAATTATTTGTTACTATGTGATCTCGCCATTTATTGAGTTAAGCAGAAGGCCTTTTGTTGATTGATTTTATTTTTTAAATTTATTTTGGTAAAAATTGTTATTTGTTTGATATATGGAAAAACAAGGAAAATGCTATTAAACTTACTCATGAAGTAAAAATGGTACTGTCAGTAAGTTCGTTAATGGAAATGGCCTTGATGTTTTAATCGAGAGGATTAATAACTAGGTTGGCTAATTTCTCGGCATCATGTTAATGGCTTTGCATACATATCAAATCAAAATAGGTAAATTATATTTTGCTTCACAATGGTATTATTCCTTAAACTCTTGGCATCTCAATAATCTCAAAGTTTAGGAAGAATTATGAATACGATTAGTATGCTTTAGACGCGTTTAAATTTATCATCGTGATTGTGTACACGTTCGCGTGACATAATTATGATTTTCAAAATAAATTGAGGTACGCGTTCGCGTGACTTTGGCCAAATAATCTTGATAATTAATAAAGCGTGATTAATTGTGTACATGTACGCGTGACATGATTCTTGATGCGCCAAACGAAATGAGTATACATACGCGTAACTCGATAATTATTTAAATACGGATTATCAAGTGATTAATAGAGGTAAAAGGTAAAAAAAATATAGGTCCTAAAATGAGTAATTAGATAAAATAAGCCAAGTATAAATTACTAAGCGATCGTACTAAAACCACGGAACTCAGGAGTGCCTAACACCTTCTTCCGGATTAATAGAATTCCTTACCCGGTCTTTTGTGTTCGCAGACCATAAATAAGAGTCATCTTCCTCGATTCGGAATTTTTAACCGGTGACTTGGGACACCAATAAACTATCCCAAGTGGAGACTCTGATTTTAATATAAATAATCATGTTTTGATTGTTACTTAAATTGAAAAAACTCCCCTATACCCCTTTCGGGTAGAAAAGGGAGGTGTGACAGCTTTCTCAAATCCAAATGGGTATTCATACAATTCAAGTGATATTAGCTCAAGTTGGATATTACTATCTCTAAGTTTAACCCTTTAATTGGGGCTATCAATTCCTTGAGTTCACCCCAACTCCTTGCTAGCCTAGTTTTTCTAGACTTAATCCCTCTTTCTCAAGTAGAGACTAAGTCATAAAGGCATGAATCAGTGTTTGCAACCACTAATTCTATAGTTCTAGCAAGAACTAGGATAAATATCACTTATCCATACACTTTCAAGCCCTAGAATTCAATACCAATTAAATACTCACACTAGGGTTGGGTCACAATCCTAGCTATGGGTCCAGCTACTCATGGAAATAACAGAAATCAAAGATGAAAAGAAGATAAAATTCTTAATACTAGATTAAAAGATGAAATCTAATGTTGAAAGATAATTTTAGTACAAAATTGCCCAAAACGGAATGTACAGCCATCTCACGTGCTCAGATAATACATAACATAACCTAAAAATGACAAAAAATTCTATTTATACTAAGCTAAAATTTTCAGACAAAAATACCCATATGGAGGTTGTGCGGACGCGTAATTCTGAGTGCGGCCGCATTCTTACTTTTGTAGCCGTGTAATTCTGATCGTGGTCCGCGTTCTAAAAATCTGGATTTAGGTTGAGCTAAATTTCGCGGACCGCATAATTTTAATCGCGGCCACGTATGGGACTTCTGCGGCCGCGCAATTCTGACGCGGACTGCACTTCTTTATTTTGCTCAAGTTGTGAGCTCTCTGAACTTCATGCATTGTGGTCCGCATAATTTCCATTGCAGTCGTAGAGAGACTTTCACGGCCGCACATTTCTGGTGCGGTCGCGCTTGTTATTTAGCCTGAAAATGCAACTCTCTGAACCTCCCTTTTGTGGATCGCGTATTTTTTATCGCGGCCGTGTTGTGGCTTTTGCAGCCGCACAATATTTGTGCGGTCCGCGTTTCAGATCTCTTGGCCTGATCTTGGTTTTTGTTCAAGTTTTGACTCCTTTATGAGGTGATTATGACTCCTTTGGCTCATTTTGAACAATTCCTACAAGCAAGAATATTACATTAGTTTCCAAGAATACCTTCACGCATTTTTGGCCCAAAACACAAGTAAAAGAGAGCAAATAATAGCTTAAAATCCCTACTTATAAGTAGCCAAGAATGGTCTTCCTAAATTCAGAGGACCTTCCTATTTTCCTCCATGTTCACCACAATGAAGTCCACAGGGAACACAAATTTGTCTACCCGAACTAGTACATCTTCAACAATTCCTTCAGGTATGATGATGGTCTGATTTGTCAGCTTTAAGGACACAGGTATCGACCTGATTTCTCTAATATTTCCGTCTAATTTTCTGAAAATAGACAAAGGCATAAGATTAATAGAAGCACCTAAGTCACACAAAGATTTTTGAAATTTAGTACTTCCTAAAGAGCAATGTACAGTAAAACTCCCTGGATCTCCATATTTTTGAGGGAGCTTATTTTAAAAAATGGTACTACAATCCTCTATCATCTTGACAACCGATGCCTATTCTACTTTTCGCTTCTTGGACAATATCTCCTTCATGAATTTAGCATAAGCTGGCATCTAAGAAAGCACCTATGTGAAAGGTATATTCACATGCACCAGCTTGAACACTTCTAGAAAGTGCTCAAATTATTTGTGCAACTTCTCACTTCTTTGCTTCTGGGGGAAGGTAGAGTTGGCATGTATTTTCTCTCTTTAGCCTCATTATTTGTTGCAATAACATCCTTCTTCTTTTTCTAAGATCTGGTAGTCATGTAACGACCCGATTAGTCGTTTTGCTTTCTAGGTCACCCGTTCTCCTAATTAAGACTCCCCGTATGTACCTTTACTGTTTTATGACTTATGGGTGTGGTTGGTTCGGGCTTAGAAGGGTTCGATGAAATTGAAACACTTAGTTCCTTAATAAGTAGCCTATAATATTTACGTTTGACTTGAGTCAACATTTTGAGTAAAGAACCTCAGAATCAGGATTTGACAGTCCTAATAGGTTTGTATGATGATTTTATACTTGGTTGTATGTTTGCATCGGGTTTCGGATGACCCCGGAAGCATTTCAACGCTTAATGTTGAAAGTTGGCACATTAAAGGTCTTTCAAATTCTTTAAGTTTGGTTTAGAGTAGATTTTGGTGTTATCAAGGTGAGTTTGGGATTCTGAGCCTAGAAATATTTTCGTATGGTGATTTATGAGTTGCACGCAAAATTTGGTGTCATTCTGAGTAGTCTAAGTATGATTCGGCGCGTTCGGAGTAAGTTGAAAAGCTTGAAGTTCATAACTTGATTCGATTTGGTTTTGGGGTGCGATTCATAGATTTGATATTATTTTAAATATTTTGAGAGTTCGAGGGGGTCTGTATTATGTTATGGAATTGTTGGTGCATTTGGACGGGGTCCCGAGCAGCTTGGATGAGTTTCGAACTGCCCGGAGCTAAGTCCAAAATGATGTCACTGCTGGTTCTAGTTTCCTTCTTCGTGATCGCGTGGGTGGGATCGTGTACTCGAAGAAGGAATTTGGGACTTGGTGGTTTTGTTCTTTGCGTTCATGAAGTCATGGATGCATTCGCGAAGGCTTGGGACTGGTCACCTTCGCGTTCGCGGTTGACTTGTCGCTTTCGCGTAAAGTCGAGGGCATGGGCCTAAGCACCCCACTTGCCTTACGCATTCGCACTTGAGGGAACACGTTCGCAATGAGGAGGCAGATTAGTGCATTGCGTTCGCAAGTGTCCTCTTACTTGTTGGTTGACTCTAGAGCTCTTTAAGGAAGGGTTTTTACCTAGCACTTTGAGCTAAGTAATTTCTACACAATATGAGTTTAATACATACATTATGGGTAGATTTTAACATAAAAATTGTGAAAATTTTAGGAGATTGTTGGTAAACCTAGGTTTTAATAAAAATGGGATTAGACCACGAAATTGATTATGTAATTGAGTTAAAATTATATATTTGGGTTCGTGAAGTTATGGATAATTTTTATCTTCAAAAATTCGGAATCCGAGCATGTGGGCCTAGGAGAAAATTTTAGGAATCTTCCAATTTGGGTTGGTTATGACTCTAGGAGCTAAAATATAAACTTTGGAGTGTATATTGATTAATCTCTAAAATATTTTATTAGTTTCGGATTGTTCGGCATCGACATGGGGCTTTCAGAGCGAATTATGGACCAGAAAGTGATCTTGGGAACGAGGTAAGTCTCTTGCCTAACCTTGTAAGAGGGAACTCATCCCCTTAGGCATATCCTTGTTGTGTGTTACTTGTGTGGGGAGCTACGTACGCACGAGGTGATGAATTCCGTGGGTAGCTATATTTCATGATAATGTTTGGGTAGACTTAGATTCACATCATGCTTTTACTTATACTGTTGTATGTATCATGCGTATAAATTGTCTTGATTAGAGCTGTGACTAGGGATTTAAATTTTCCATTATTTACTTAGCCTTCTTATTTCAGAAAATGGAGGAATACTTTATAAACTATAAAAAATCCATGTCTTCTCATCTCGCAAGTACTTACGCGGGTGAGGTAAATTTCTCTACTCTTATGGGATTGGACCATTTGCATCAGCAGCATGATAAAACCACTCTTATGGGATCGGGTTATTCACCTAGGCAGTATGATAACACCACTCTTATGGGATCGGGCTATTCGTCTCAGCAGTATGATAACATCACTCTTATAGGATCGGGTTGTTCACCTCGGCAGTATGATGGTAACACTATTCTTATGGGATCGGGACATTCATCTTAGCAGTACTGAGTACCATTATTCTTATGGGATTGGGTTGTTCACCTCGGCAATTTCTTGCTTAATAATTGAAATGAGTTTCCAGTTTAGGTATAATTAAGTTAGTGCCTTCACGACCAGTTATAAGATGTTGGTGATGTGATACGAACTCATGTTGTATTCATTGTAGTTGCTTTTATTTGTTTCATTGATGTCTGTTGTATGTTCACCATGTCTACTTTATGCACTGATATTATTATTATTGACCTCTAGTAAGTGTTAAGTCGACCCCTCGCTACTACTTCTTTGAGGTTAGACTAGATACTTACTGGGTACGCGTTATTTTTCGTACTCATACTACACTTCTACACTGATATGTAGGTACTGAGACAGGTTCCACCAGTGGTCACGGGGGTGTGTAGCCGATTATCTACAGAGACTTAGTGGTGAGCTACTTGCCTTGCTACGATTCGCAGCACCACATTCTCCTTCTACCTTATTTACTATTCTTGTCTATTGCTTTCGAACAGTGGCTTTAGTGGTTTATTTTGCATATCCTCTAGATTGCTCATGTACTTGTGACGCCGAGTTTTGGGGATTTGTAGCACATATGTATTTTTGTACTTGTCATTTCTATCACTGCAGGATATGTACTTATTATGTTGGTATTTTATTTAAAAAGATTTATCACAGTAGCATGAAATCTAGTTTAAAGTGTTCTCTAAAAAGGAAAACTTCCGTATTATTGTTAAAAAGGTAAATAAATTGTAGTTACACTTGTGGGCTTGTCTAACGATAACATTAGGTGCAGTATCGACCTATTATAGATTTGGGTCGTGACAGATTGGTATCAGAGTACTAGGTTCACGTAGGTCTAACTAGTCATGAGCAAGCCTAAAAGAGTCTTGCGGTTCGGTGCAGAGACGTCCGTACTTATATTTGAGAGGCTATATGGTGTTAGGAAACTTCTCTTTCTTCATATCATATCATGTAATTGATATTATACTAAGTATCTTTCTATTGATCTCTCACAAATGGTGAGAATGCACGCGGCGGATGTACCAGGCGGTCGAGTGGCTGCTCCCCCTATTGTTAGAGGCTAAGGCAGATACCGGGGGAGGGCTCCAGCTCCAGTCAGAGGACGAGGGCATCCTAGAGTTACTACAGTTGTGCCACCAGTGGATCCAGTAGAGAATCATATTATTAAGTAGCAGGGTGAGGAGCATGCAGCTATGCCAGCCCTATCAAATTTCATGACTGCACCGGGTTTCCAGGAGGTCATGGGCCATAAGTTGTGGTTCATGGACTTTATGATGTAGGCTAGTTTATTCCAGCAGACCCCGCCGTATCTCAGCGGGAGGGGTAGCACAAACCCCTACCAATCAGGCTCCAAGGCATGCTGCTGCCGTTTATTATACCCCAGGTGCACTACCTGCGGGCGGAGCCCAGCTTGTTGCAGCAGCTATGCTAGAGGTCGTACCAGTTGCGGCCGTTGATCAGCAGAAGCAGCTGGGCAAATGGACTGGGCTTCGCCCCCTATACTTTTGGAGGTGAGCGTTCAGAGGATCACTAGTTCTTCATTGACCGGTACAAGGATAGGCTTCGGAACATGGGGATATTGGAGTCCAACAGGGTGGACTTTGCCACTTTTCAGCTTGAGGGCAAGACCTGCAAATGGTGGTAGGCTTACCTTCTTAGCACACCAGCATGTTCACCTCCCTTAACTTGGGATCATTTTACAAATCTGTTGTTGGAGAAGTACATACCACCTTCAGAGAAAGAGGCGCTTCGGGTTTAGTTTGAGTGACTCCATCAGGGTCACATGTTTGTCACTAACTATGAGGCAAGATTCACTGGCTTGTCTCGCCATGCAGCTATCATACTCCCCATAAATGTAGAGAGGGTGCGGAGGTTCATTGCATGTCTGCACCCGGAGATTCAGGTACATATGGCACATGACATAGAGATGGGAACTTCCTTTCAGCAGGTTGTGGATATAGCTCAGAGGATCGAGCGTACTCGTAACCATAGCGGAGAGTTTGCACCAAGAGACAAGTGGCCCTGGTAGTTTGGAGGATTCAGTGGCACCCCACCTAGGGGCAAAGGTCAGTTCATGAGGGGTCATCCCAGCAGGCCCATGTAGCTAACACCACATCTGCTTCGGGTGCTCCAGTACGACCTTATTTCAGTGTCACTCCAGAGTGTACTTACCACCCGCCAGCTATTTAGGGTTCCTCCAGTAGGTATTCAGGCCATCAGGGTCAGACTTCAGGTCAACTGTCCACCATTCCGAGGGGTTGTTTTGAGTGCGGGGATCTTGACCACGTGAAGATGTTTTATCCTAGACTTTGGTCAAGGCCGAGCAGCAAGACTATAGGCCATGCTTACTGCACCAGCTACCCTACCGCTAGCCCGACCGGCTAGAGGCGGAGGGCAGGTGGCCGGGGGTTGTCCTAGAGGTGGAGGCCAATCAGGTGGCATACCGAATAGATTCTATGTTATCCCCATGAGGCCAGAGGTAATTGCCTCTGATGCAGAGATCACATATACTATTTCTATTTACTGGAGGGATGCCTCGATATTATTTGATCCAGGGTCTACTTATTCCTATGTTTCTTCTCTATTTGCTCATTATTTGGATGTGTCCCCTGAGTCCTTGGGTGTTCCTGTATATGTGTCCACACCCGTGGGTGATTCTGTTGTTGTGGATTGGGTCTACTAGTCCTGTGTGGTGACTTTATATTGATATGAGATCAGTGCGGGTCTTCTACTGCTCGATATGGTGGATTTCGAGGTTATCTTAGGCATGGACTGGTTGTCCCCGTACCATGCCATTCTGGATTTTTATGCAAAGACTATCACCTTGGAAATGGCTGGGTCACCCAAATTAGAGTGTAGAGGTTTGCTTGTCGGTACTTCCATCCAGGTTATTTCCTTCTTGAAGGCTCCACATATGGTCGAGATGGGTTATTTGGCTTACTTGGCCTTTGTTCGGGATACTATTGCAGAGATTCCCATGCTAGATTCAGTGTTGGTGGTATGAGAGTTTTTCGATGTATTTCCTATTGATCTACGAGGTATGCCGCCAGATCAGGATATTGATTTCGGTATTAATTTGGCGCCAGGCACCCAGCCTATTTCTACTTGGTCTTATCGTATGTCTCCCAAGGAGCTTAGAGAGCTAAAGGAGCAGCTTCAGGAGTTTCTTGAGAAGGGTTTCAATAGACCTAGTGTGTCGCCTAAATCTCAAACCTGAGATCTTCACCACTTTTTTGGCGTGCTTCGGCTTAGAGGTCAACTAGTGGTACAAGGTCAATATGTGCCTCCTTCTCTTCAGACTGCGAGGAATGATCAGATACACTTCTGGCTGTGTCAGGCTGTGTGTTTTTGGATTGTTGTGATTGTGGGCTCAGAGCAGAAGTTCGTTTCTTTCCTCGAGCGGAAGGTGGTCACGATGCTAGGGATTTCTTTGGTGCCATTCATGTCAATTAATTAACAAGTGAGTATGTGAATGGCATGGACAACATGTTAAGAAAGAAAGAAAAATGAAAACAAAGTTGTTTCTGCGATCGCATAATAACTCTACGAACCGCTGAACCTTTGCATAATATAACCCTCAGAAGCAAAATAAATTTTGTTGTCCGTAGAAGTGGCCGCATAACAACTTATGTGACCACAGTTTGGTCGCATGTTGGTCCTCAAATATAGCATTTTATCTGCCTCTGTATGCGACCATTGTGCGCTTTGCATAGCATTTTTGTGGTCGCACACCCAACCGCACATGGGTTTTAAGACAACTACCTATGACACAAAATGCGATGACTTTGTGGTCCGCAAACAAGTTATGCAGACCAAAAAGATCATCGTCCTTAGCAAAATGTCTTCGCACTCAGTCTAAAGTATATAGGATTTCCTAGAATCAGTTATTGTACACTTAGCAGGGCGAAATCTAAGCATAATGCTACAATTTTCCAAACCTTTTTCTTTACTCCTACTTTCCAATTCAAATCCTCAAACCTTGATTACCCACAGTAGCCCCAAAACTAAATGTTCAAGAAAATCACTCACGAGGGATTACCCATAGCAAAAAGTTGGGAAAAAAGAATAGCAATGATAGCACATGGAATTTCTTCAATTGATTAGGCAAGAAGAGGGTGGAAGTGAACATACCAGATATCAAGAGGATTGGGAGATGTTGATCTGAGGCACGAGCAAGGTAAGATTTTCCTTTTCAATTCCTTTTTGATTTTTTTTTTGTGTTGTTGTTTCAATATTTTTGGTTGTTGTTATCATTTCTTTTGTGATATGTGGTGTGCCTGTGTGTGGGAGTGCCAAAGAATGGTGAAAATGACGGAGGGAGTTAGGGCTAAGTACATGAGAGGTTTGCGGTAAGGCAACCCATCGCATAACACATTATGCGACCGCATATGTGTTATGCGATGGGTTAGTGACTGAGTATTGTAAACTAACTTTTGATAAGTTCTGCGGTCGCATAATCGTTATGCGGGCCACAGAAAGCACATTTTCATCGCATTTTTGAAGGCTCGTATATCTTTTTTTGCCTGTGTTTGCGACCATTATGCAGTCGCATATGTTGCCGCAGAACACAGGTCTTGCTTTCCTTCATTTCCTCTGCCCTTGCATCCTGTTCCATTATATTTTGGGTCACCTGCATTCTAACACACATGTCAAACTACTTTACACTTATAATTAAACTTGCCAAAATTAAAATCTAACCAGAAAATGTTACCACACCTGGGTTGCCTCCCAAGAAGCGCTTGATTTAACGCCACGGCACAACGATATGGCCCCCATTTTGGCTAATCATTGGTGGGGGTTGGTGTAGGACCGTCCTTGAGTACGTATTGTTATACCAAGTGCCTTTCTCCACTGGTTCCAAGGTAATGCTTGACATTTTGTCCATTTACTTTGAAAGTTCGAGTCTTGTCCTCGGATTCCAATTCAATGGCACCATAGGAAGACACATTCACAACTTTAAACGGTCCAGACCATTTGGATTTGAGTTTGCTCGGAAAGAGCTTCAGTCTTGATTTGAAGAGTAAGACCAAGTAACCGAATTTGAATTTCTACTTCAAAATCTTCTTATCATGAACAAACTCCATCCTTTCCTTATACAAGGTTACATTCCCATAGGCATTAAAATGGAATTCTTCCATCTCGTTGAGTTGGGTCATCCTTAGATTAGTAGCCTCATCCTAGTCAAGATTTAACTTCTTCAATGCCCACATATCTTTGTGTTCAAGCTCCACTGGCAAATGACATGACTTACCAAAAACCAGCTGGTATGGTGAGGTGACAATGGAAGTCTGAATGTTGTTCGATATGCTGACAATGCATCATCTAGCTTCTTTGACTAGTCATCCCTATTTGCATTCACAGTTTTTGCCAGGATGTTTTTGATCTCCCTGTTGGAAATTTCCACCTGACCGCTCGATTGAGGATGATAAGGGGTGGCCACATTGTGCTTAACTCCATATTTTTCGAGCATCTTGGCAAAAGCTTTATTGCAAAAGTGAGAACCACCATCACTAAGGATTGCTCTTGGGGTTCCAAACTACGTAAATATGTTCTTCTTCAAGAAAGCAGTTACACTCTTTGCCTCATTGTTTGGCAAGGCAATTGCCTCGACCCATTTGGAGACATAATCTACTACCACCAAGATATATGTCATGTC